TTTCTTGTAATTCTGAGTTTACATCTCACAATTCTGAATTTTTTCTTGCAATTCAGATTTCTTTTCTTATAATTATGAGTTTACATTTTAGAATTGTTTTTCTCTGCAATGGATTTAAAAAATAATTTTTTCTCATAATTAAGTCTGAGTTTATATCTTGCAATTCTGACTTTTCTTGTAATTCAGAAAATTTTCTTGTAATTCTGAGTTTACATCTCACAATTCTGAATTTTTTTTCTTGCAATTCTGATTTTTTTTCTGAGAATTGAGTTTATATTTTGCAATTCTGATTTTTTTTCTTGCAATTCTGACTTTTTTTTTTATAATTAAGTCTGAGTTTACATCTCACAATTCCAACTTTTCTCGTAATTCTGAAATTTTTCTCGTAATTCTGAGTTTGCCTCTCACAATTCTGACTTTTTTCTCTCAATTCTCTGTTTATATCTTGCCATTCTGACTTTTCTCGCAATTTTGACTGTTTTCTTGCAGTTCTGAGTTTACGTCTCACAAATTCTGAATTTTTTTCTCACATTTTTTTATTTTATAGCTCAAAATTTTGTCTCACAATTCTGAGTGAAACATTCTGTGGCAGACACAGGCTTCCATATACAACCAGAGCACACGGTGTACTGTATCCCACAATGCCGTTTCCAGTGTGTCATCAAGCATGATTTCAAACATGATTTTAATAGAATCGCAGGATGTGTTCAGGAATGCTGAGCGCTTCACTAACACAGTCTGCTGGGCAGTTTTATTATGGTTCAGCGGTTTCATAGGCTCTGATGTTATGCTTCGCTATTTTTAGATCATAGAAACAGGAAGTTCTGTATGTTATGTTTGTGTAGGTAAAGTTAGCTTTTCGACTTTTAATGAGACCAAGAGTGATGATACTCAGATACGCCTGCCTCACTGTCCCCACAGAACAACACACACACAGAACAACACACACACACACACACACACACACGGTTTCCCAACGGACACAAACAGTATGTCTGTAATGAGATGTGCTTATGGCACACACACACCCCATGAGGACAGGCTGTGTGTTTGGAGCGTAAAGGCATGTTCACACACAACAAACCCAATCATTTGGAAATATTTTTCCTATAGAATGATGTTGATGGGTATGCTTTATGTGTTATCATGACAGAACATTGTGATATTCACTGTTATAATTTTAACAATATTTCGAATTAGCTTTTCCTTTTATACTTTCATTTAAATATTTTAATTTTTTTTTATTTTATGTGCTTTTGTCATTACACTCTAAAAAATGCTGGGTTAAATATAACCCAATTAAATAAAATTAAAACCATACATTTTTTTTTAAGTTTAATCCATCTAGTTGCCATGACAATGTTTCTCATTTTCATTTATAGTTAATACTGAAATAACTACTGTCAAACTAAATAAATTAAAATGAATAAATATATAAATTAATAAACCTATATAGGCATATTAAAAAAAATATATATATACTATATTAATGATAAAATTGATTTAATAAAAAATGGCTAAAACTAAAATTTAAGTAATAAACAGAAAATGTAGCTAAAAATGAAATGTTAACAAAAACTATAATATAACAGATATACTAAAATAACACGAATGAGAACTGCCACCGCAACAAAAATAATATACAAACAAAATCTCAAGTATAAACTGTATATGCACATGTGTAAACTGTATAAAAATACTCACAATGTTTTTTTAAATGTCTGGTTATGTTTATCATTTCTGTCCTCACAGCTATGGGAAAATTGTGTCTACTAAGGCCATCATGGACAAGAACACAAACCAGTGCAAAGGTAAACACCTGTTTTATGGTTTTATGATGTAATGATAAACCACTTACGTGGCAATTGAACTAGGAATGAGCTTCATCTAGATGTTTTCTGCTCGTTTTAGTTTGAATATATTTCGTGTTTGAGCTTCAGAGACAGTGACTGAAGAGCTGAAGTCTGTAAAACACATGCTGTGAGAGATGTTCATCATCGTCTGTAGCTCTCACTTATGTGTAGATGTTTATGATTGATCATCTGTCACTTTTGTTATTGAAGGGATGTTTTATCGGTTTCTTCAGCATCTCGCAGCGTGAATTTTGAGATTGTATGATGTTGTGCTCTTGCTTGAATATGTCCTGTGTGAATCAGGGTTATTATAGTTAATTAAATCCTTTAAAAAGTTGTACATAAAATATAATTTAACTGAATATAAAATATAATTAATTTAATAACAACACATGAAATAATTGTTTTTTTTTACTTTTTCATTTCAGCTACTTGCCAGGGCAAAATGTCTCATTTTCATTTAGTAAAGTAAAATAAAAATGACAAATAACTAAATTTAGAACAAACTAAATTTATGTGTACTGGTTCATTACTCCTGAATATATCATCTTTAATGTATTATTATTATTTATTTTTTTGCTTTTTATCATCAGAGTTTGTGAAACCTTCATTATAAGTGTTTTGGAAACAATCTTCACTCAGAAATTGCTAGTCAATTTCACAAATAAAGAATATAAAGAAATGACAAGCAGCACACTGCATTAAACATGGGATTCTGAAGTATAAAAGACTAAAATTGTATTTTCATGTACAACATACTCTAATAAACTTTAGTAGGTTTTATTTTCAACTTTATTATAAAATAGCATGCAGTATAGTATGATAAACATTTAAATTGCAAACTGTAGATGTCGACACATGAACTTTTTAAGTAAGCAAGTGGCTCTTATTTATTGTGGAGCAAATAAATACACTTTAGCAGGTTTATTCTGTATTGAGTGAAAAAATCTGCATTTTTGGCAATAAAAAAATGTTGAATATAACCTTGTAGTGCATTGCAGTGATAAATACAGTATATAGTGTGCTCTAATTTTATTCTGCACATTTTGGCAAATTTTGTCTGTGCATACAGAAAATTAGCATATTGTGCACATTATACATACTGCATACTTTAGAACTAGTATGCATGCTGATAATATGCGTGACATGCATCACAGTTCCAACTAACCCGAGTTTCACATTCCTGTTTCATTAACTAGCCGTTCTACAACTCTTTTGCTCAAATGTTTCACTCTTAAAACATTCCGCTTGTATGATTTTTTTTTTCCTAATGTGTCCGTGAGTTCAACTGAAGAGGGTCATCTAACCTATTTTCTCTTTAATTAAACCTTCATCTCTCCTGGATAACGCGCTGCCGCTGACGGGCTTTAATCCAAAGCGTGTGTGTGTGTGTGTGTGTTGTACCTGTTTTTCTATTCTGGTGGGGACTTAAACCTGAATACACACAGACTCATGGGGACTCGTGTCATGATGGGGACCTAAATTGAGGTCCCCACGGGTAAACAAGCTAATAAATCACACAGAATGAAGTTTTTTGAAAATCTAAAAATGCAGAAAGTCTCCTGTGAGGGGTAGGTTTAGGGGTAGGGTTGGTGTAGGGCAATAGAATATACGGTCTGTACAGTATAAAAACCATTACGCCTATGGAGAGTCCCCACAAGGATAGCTGACCAGACATGAGTGTGTGTGTGTGCGTGTGTGTGTACTCATTTAATCTGCCATGAAATGTTAATTAACACTGGTGTGACCCTTATCTGCTGATACAGCCCTGAGAATGAAGGTGTGATGGAAAATAAAAGGCGAGTGAGGGATTGTGGGTAAGAGCAGTCGCTCATAAATATCTCATAACTCATTAATCAGGTTTGCGGTTTCCTCTTGCCTCGCGCACTGACGGGCGAGGTCAGGACAAATGGGGAAGGCTAAAGAGGAAAGTGAAGTCGAAGGGTTGTTGCCATGGAGACCAAGGGTTTAATGCAAGATTATTCCTGAGGGCCTTCAGGTGTTTCTCGAACACTGGTGGTGTGATAATGAAAAACACATTTAGTTTATCTAATTTTCTTTTCCTATCTTCGAAAAGTGCAGTGGAATGGATTCTGATGGGTCTTGGTCTTCCTGAAAGATTGACTGCATTTAGACATAATCCGCTCATGGATCAGGAGCCGGATTCTCCGAAATCATCTTATAGATACAACAGGCAAAACCATTATTTTTCATGCACTACACTCTTAAAAATAAAGGTTCTTTATTGGCATCAATGATTCTATGAAGAACCTTGAACATCCATGGAACCTTTCAAATGCAGAAAAGGTTCTTTATAGTCGAAAAAGGTTCTTTAGATTTTTAAAATGTTCTTTAATAAGCTTCTTTTAGGAACTGTTCACTAAAAGTTTCTTTGGGGAACCAAAAAGGGTTCTTCTATGGCATCTTTATTTTTAAAGGGGTCATAGAATGCTACATGCACTTTTACAAGTAGTTTGAACTGAAATGTGTGTTGGCAGTGTGTGTACACAACCACCCTATAATGATAAAAATCCACCCAGTGTTTTTTGTTTAATCTGGTTAAATGTTTTCCCCTTTCTCAAATCGAGCCGATCTCGGATACCTGTCAGTGTGACGTCACACAGACAGGCCCCTCCCACGATAGTTTGATTGACAGTAGTGTTTCAGCACAGACTGGACTGGTGTCTTACTTTAGCTCCGTCCTGAGTGACTGTCATCAGTCTGCCATTGTTTCACCACCGGAGCAGATGTAGACAAGAATGACTCCTGAGCGATTGAGGTGTTCTGTTGTTGAATGTAATTATGAACATAGCAGTCTTCATTTACTCCGGACATCTGAGCACTGAAGATGCAGAGGATTACATTTGTTTCTGAAGAGAATGCTCCCCGATCTTCCTAAATGCATCTATGTTTGCACGAATCATTCGTGATCCAGCTTCACCTACAGAAGTGAGTATAATGTTTTGTAATGAATCTTTGCAAATCGCCTTTCCTAATAATGTGCTAGTTAGCAAGTTTCAAGATGAATGCGGCTAAAGTAAACAGTCTCTCTGAGAGCGGCTCTGAAGAGAGGGGCGGGGCCAGCAGAGCTCATTAACATTTAAAGGAAAATGACAAAAACGGCTTGATCTGAAAAGAGCTGTTTTTGACAGGGTAAAAAAGGTGTATTTATACACTACCATTGAGAACTTTTAACCAAACTATGTTACAGTCTTTTCATTAAGACCCTAAAGAATCATATCAACTTGAGGAAAATGGGCATCTGATGACCCCTTTAAGAGTGTAGTCAGTTTTTTTTCGGTTTTAGTCTATTTGGCTTTTCATGACATGCTGTTTCAGACTAGATGAAAGAAATTTTGGCAAAAATTTAAGTGTGGTTTTGGATCTATTTGCGTTTATAGATTTAAATGTCAATTTTCATCTTCAAACGTTTTATTTTGTTTTGTTTTTTCTCAATTCAGCAGCACATTCACAAACTTAGTTTTATTCCTACCTAGAGATTTGTTCATATATAATTCACACTGATTTTATTATTGCACTTTATCTATTTGCATCTATAGATTTCAAATACAATATATATCTTTAAAAACTTTTTGCTCAAAATGAGTTTGTTTCTCCACTTCAGCAGCTCTTACACCAAAACTTAGTTGTATTCCTCCTATCTATATTCTGAAGGTTTTTACTGTAGGGTTCCTCTTCAGGAACTCGAGCTGCGTCGAAATGCTACGGGAACGCCTCCAGCGTGACCACGCTCTGAATCACATGTGTAATCAGTCCAATGGATGGGCGAGACGTCACAGGCTGGGTGACGTAGCGACCAGGAAGTATAAAAGCCCGTGCGGTGAAACCGGCGTCAGCTTTCTGTCATTCAGCAAGCGCTCTGTGTGTGTCAGTCTTATTTGGTGTTATCTGTCCATTAACATTCTTTATTTTACCAATACGAGTGTAGACAAACATACAGCGAGAGCTGGCAATATATTAGGCTGTGTGCTCTTCCCTGCCCGCGCTACATTTCGGGTGGAGATACACACAGTTTGTGTGCTGTCTGCTAAAAGTGGGAGCAAAACACGCAGAGTCAGCTGACTGCCCGTATTGAGAAAGTTTGTCACTGCGTATGCTTGCTCTCCGAGGGCTCTCTTTGAGAAGGGAGTCTTCACCGCGTTTCTCGCGGCGCCGGCCCCGCTTTCGCAGAGGCGGAGCAGCGGCTGTGCTCGTGGGGTTCGCATATGGATCCAGTGGTGGGAATGTAGACGGGCGAGTCCCTATCTTCTTCCTTAACCACCAGATCCAGCGCCCGCTCTCGGGGTTCGGAAGGTTCTTTCCCCCCGGTGAGTGGGCTCGATGCTCCACCTGTCTTCCTCCGAGGAGGTTGATGAGGGTGTCGATGAGATCGCCAGTTGCACAAACATCATTACACAAGCATATTATGCCTAATATTATAATGAGCAGCTTTACTGTGGAGTGGAGCTGTTGTACAGTCGCACAAGCATTGTCAATACGATTATAAAAAGAAAAGACTCGCGCAGTCAGCTCTCGGGAATAAGGGGCTGATTGTGCTTCTCCCCGCTGAAAGCTCCTCTCCCGCCGGGCACGCTCCAAGGAGTGTGTCCGTGCTTGCGTGCTCGCGGTTCGGTCGCGCTATTGCCGAGGCAGAGCGGCGGTTCAGATCGCAGGGATCGCACGTGAATCTAGCGGATGGGTTGGAGACGGCTCGCCCTTTCTCCGCCTGCACTCCCTAGATCCAGTGCTCTCTCTCGAGGCTCGGAAGCCCGCGCTGCGGTTTCTTCCCCCTCTGAGCGATAGCTAGCTGCTGCAGCTATTTTTCTTTGATAGAGATTGATATTGTTTGTGTGACCAAGTGGCTCGCGCGCTGCCGAGGCAACGCGTGTATTACATCATTTTCAGTTTTTGATGTGAATCTTATCACACCAGACCGTGTTTACTTGTTTGGTTGTTTGGCTGCATTTAATTCTGAAGAATAAAATGAAGTATTTATCTGACTATGAGAAGTTAGATATACAGGGGCTCTTGGGATAAACATTTCTTGAGTGAGAGCACGTGTTTACCTCTCTGAGGAGGTTGAGGCGGTCAGCAGGGGCTGCTGGGCTTGAGCAGTCCCAACCTACCGTGTTCCAGCTCCTCATTCTGGGGGCGTCACTTCTCGTACTCAGCAGACTCAGGACCGTCATTCTCGCTGGATAGTCTCCGTCTGAAACATCCTGACGCCAAAGGCCTATAGGACTTCTGAGAGCCAGCTCCCTCTGGGGAAGAGCGGTGTACACCGCATTACACGGTGCCCGTCTCTCCTCAGTGCCCTCAGGAGATCAGTCTGCCAAACATGCCAGTGTTCCAGGGCGCAGCGGTCTCCGGCGAGCGCTTCTCTCAGTTACCACCCTAGTACTCTGTTGAGGAAGGAGGCCATCGAGGTGGTCCCTCCTCACGTAGCAGAGTCCGGGTTCTACAGTCAGTACTTCACCGTTCCGAGGAAGGATGGAGGGTGGTGTCCTATTTTAGATCTGTGTAATTTGAACTGCTCAGTCAGGCGACTGAAGTTCAGCACGCTTGCACTCAAACAAGTCGTGTCTCAGATCAAGTCAGAGGACTGGTTTGGCACAATCGATCTAAAAGGGGCACATGTCTCCATCCTTCCTCATCACAGGAAGTTCCTGAGGTTTGCTTTTGGGGGCAAAAGCTTACCAACACCGAGTTCTTCCTTTGGCCTTGCACTCTCACCCCACACTTTCACGACTCAACCACATAGACGATTGGTTGATATTAGCTCAATCAGAGTGGATGGCAGTTCGACATCGAGATGTCGTTCTCGCTCAAACGGAAAAGCTGGGGTTAAGACTTAATGCTAAGGAAAGTGTACTTTCTCCAGTACAGAGAACAACTTATCTGGGCGTGGTGTGGGATTCGACCACGATGTAGGCACGTATGTCTCCTGCTAGGATCGAGTCAATCCTTGTCGCGAGAGTGAGAGAAGGCCGGTCACTCACTGTAAAGCAGTTCCAGACTGCTGGGTCTGATGGCAGCCACGTCCAACGTGGTTACTTTTGGCCTGCTGTACATGACACCCCTACAGTGGTGGCTTAGGACCAAGGGGTTCTCCCTGAGGGGAAACCCGCTTTGCATGCTCAAGGTCACGCAGCGGTGCCTACGTGCCTTAGACATGTGAAGGAAACCTTGGTTCTTATGTCAAGGCCTGGTGCTGGGAGCTCCTGGTCGCCGCATATGCTAGTGACAGATGCATCTTTCACCGGTTGGGAGCGGTCATGTGTGGCCGCTCGGTCCGCGGCCTGTGGAGCAGCCGCCATCTCACGTGGCGCAGAAGTTGACTGGAGATGCTGGCCGTGTTTCTAGGTTTGAAACACTTCCTCCCAGGCCTACGAGATTGCTATGTGTGGGTGCGCACCAACAACACAGCAGTGGTCTTTTATATATGTGGGGGCAGACATCCTGTCGAGGCAGGGGCCAAGGCCCGGGGAATAGATGCCTCACCCCGAGGGGTGAAGCAGACTTGGAGAGTCTTTGGCCAGGCTCAGGTGGACTTGTTTGCGACTCAGATGATATCGCACGGTCCCCTCTGGTTCTCTCTCTGACTCATCCAGCTCCACTGGGGCTGGATGCCATGGTACAGACGTGGCCGAGGCTTCGTCTGTACACCTTTCCCCTGATTGTTCTGCTCCCGGGAGTTCTGGAGAGAGTGCGCTGGAACAAGGTCAGTCGACTGCCAGTAGCCCTGTTCTGGCCGGGCCGAGTATGGTTCTCGGACCTGATTCCTCTCCTCGACGGCACTCCATGGGAGATTCCCGTCAGGAGAGATCTCCTCTCACAGGCGGAGGGCGCGCCCCCGCCCGGAGCTGTGGAAGCTGTCGGAGTGGCCTCTGAGGAGGCACAACTCATAGCTTCTGGTCTCTTAACCGAGGTTGTTGAGACCATCCTCCATCCAGAGCTCCCTCTATGAGGGAACTGTACTACTTGGTGTGGAGACCGCCAGCTCGACCCAGCTAACTGCCCGTTTGGTACAGTTCTGGAGTTCCTGCAGGCCTGTTTATCCACAGGGTTGACTTGCACCACCCTAGAGGGAAGACACCCTCTTCTTACACGTTTCCTCCGCGGTACACTGAGGCCGAGGCCGAGGCCTCCGGCCAGAGAAGCTTATGCTAAGTGGTGGATCAGGATGCTATTCCATAGCCTTAAGCCCTCTGATCTCCCCTCTCCTTCGGGGGTCATGGCTCACTCCTCAAGAAGTTGGCCTTCGGGCGGCCCCCACCTACTTTAGCCATTCCTGGCTCCCTTTTCTCTCGCCTTAGTTGTGCTCTTCCACACTAGGCAGGGATTTGCAAGTCTGGCGGCGTAGGCATTCTCGTTCCCGTAGCGTTTCGATGCAGCTCGAGTTCCTGAAGGGGAATGTCTCCAGGTTACGTATGTAACCATGGTTCCCCGAAGGGAACGAGACGCTGCGTTTCAGGGCCATACTTTCGGCATCCCTGCCAGCGCTTGCTTCACTCCTGAAGCTGATGCCGGTTTCACCGCACGTGCTTTTATACTTCCTGGTCGCTACGTCACCCCGCCCGTGACGTCTCGCCCATCCATTGGACTGATTACACATGTGATTCAGAGCGTGGTCACGCTGGAGGCGTTCCCGTAGCGTTTCGACGCAGCGTCTCATTCTCTTCGGGAAACCATGGTTACATACGTAACCTGGAGACGTTTTGTCTATATATCATTTGCTTGATTTTAAACAACCTTTTATTCCTAAAAACATGGTAAAAATTTTTTTTTTTTTCCAAAATTCTCTGGTTGTTGACAGTATTTTCTGATTTATGGAGTGATAAAAAGAGAAATACAAAATCCCCACTCTAGTATGTCAACAAAAACAAACAAAATCTGAACCTGGCTTTATCAAAAGTTGGGAATTAGTTTCTGGAAATGTATGCAAGTATGCAATTAGTTCATTCAAAAAAATTTCCTCAATACATTTCTTCAAAAAAATCATAAAAGTTCTCAAATACTTGGATATTTTTTTCTTCAGGACAAAAAAGGACAGGTTTTGGCATCGTCTGTTTTTGAAGATTTGCTGATCAGATCAATGAAAATCACATCAAAGTCTGTGCAGATTGCAGTAATAATCATAATAAAATCGCACTAAGTTTTAGTTGTGACCTGGTTTAGCTTTTGACGTCATGCTTTTTTAACGTGCTGTGCATTATAAACGAGTTATTTCTAAAGAGCCTGTTGAAAATGTTACAAAATGTTGAATACAGCAAAAACTTGTCATGCATAATCATAACTGATCAATGTTTATGATAATTGGAGTCACTTCAGATTTGTGCACATTTGTAGTTAGTGTTACGTTTTAATGCTTAATGTATAAAACATCCCAAAAAATCATCTTAACTTTGTGGATTTAAAACAAGTTGGATGTTATACTACTTTGATATTTGTGTAATTTTTTTTTTTTTAAGATTATATTGTATTATTTGATAGCAGTTACGAATGTTTTGTGACTTTGGTGAATGCATTATTATTTTTTTTAATCAGTGAACTGTGATTGGTCGCTTTTCAAATGTTTGTTTTTGTTCTTGGTTAAATAAGTGGACTAGGTCTGATAACGCTGGTGATGTGACGCCACATGAATGTTGTGCCGTGTCTGTAGGTTATGGTTTCGTGGACTTTGACTGTCCAGCAGCAGCGCAGAAGGCCGTTTCGTCTCTGAAGGCCACCGGTGTGCAGGCGCAGATGGCAAAGGTAAGACATCTTCATTCCTTCATCATCCTCACAGCTGTTTAAACTGCATATGACCCAATCGAGTTCAGAATATTTCAAGTTTGAGTCACTGATGAGTCTTCTCCTTCAGAGCACGTGAATGTCTTTCATTATGTAAGAGATACATGAAGAAGTCTCTTCTGCTCACCAAGGCTGCATTTATTTGTTTAAAAATGCAGTAAAAATAATGAAATATTACAATTTCAAATAGCTGTTTTCAATGTGAATATGTGTTAAAATATAATGTATTTCTGTGTCCGAAGCTGAATTTTCAGCATCATTACTCCAGTCTTCAGTGTCACATGATCTTCACAAATCATTCTAATATGCTGATTTAAGAAACATTGTGTGTGTGTGTGTGTGTGTGTGTGTGTGTGTGTATATATATAAAATATTTAAAAAAAAATTAATTAAATATGTTTTTATATTTAATTTTATTTCCGTTTATGCTTATTTCATGTAGCAAATTTGTTATGGTTTTATTTTTTTGGTTGTTGAACATTAGTATTTTTTTTCTACTGGCTCCCACAATGAAACCCATTAGATTAGTCCTCTACAGCTTAAGTCACGGTTGTTCAATATTCATGTGAAGTGCCTCCTATCTTTCCTCTTGAGCATAATAAACACTGCTCTTCCTCTCTCTCTGTCTCTCGTTAGTGTTTGACAGGTGAGGCGGGTGTTAATTAGTTTGTCTCAGAGATTCCTGACACACAGAACGAATCAGAGGAGCTGAGCTGTGGTCTCTTCACATGCAGAGCTTTAGTTTGTGATGGATGTGGCGCTCATGTAAACCATGCTTTAATACGCTCTGAATCTGCCGTATGTAAACACAGTCTGATGATTCTGAGAGTCAGAGGGTGTTTCTGTCTCGTATTTGGCCTCAAACTGTGCTCGAGCTGTAATTAGACCAGCGAGGCAGGGGAACCGTCCCATAATGCATCTGTCTCCTCTGGTACCCACAACTCCCTCTGTTTGCCCTTCAGAACTTCCATCTGTTCCTGAGCCGGATCGCATCAGGGGACAAGAAAACTGGTTGGGAATTGGAGAAAGTTATTAACTTTGAAGAAAGTTTTTTTTTTCTTTAGAAAAATGCACACTGATAAGTCTAGGACTTATTTTTCCCCAAAAATTCCTTTTTTTTTTTTTTTCAAATTCTGTTTTTTTACGTTTAAATTTTTCTGCATTCCATTTTAGTTTTTCTAGACTTTGCTTTAGTAGTAAAAATGTTTTAACTATATAAAACTTACGCAATTTTTAAAAGTTGAATAAAAATGTCATTTTAGGGCCCTATGAAATACATTTTATTTTATCCCAAATTCCATTTCATATTTTTCCAAGTTCTGTTTTTTTTTCCTATATAAATTTTTCTGGAATCTTTTTTTTATTTATTTATTTTTTACATTTTTCTGAACTCTATTTTAATAGTTTAATGAAAACATGAACTCAATTTAACAACAATTTATTTACATGTTTAATAAAAATGACATTTTTAGGGCCCTATGAAATACATTTGATTATTTTCTCAAATTCCAATTTATTTTAATATTATTATTATTTATTTATTTATTTTACCTAATTGTTTTGTTTTAATTTTTTCTGGATTCCATTTGAATGGTTAAATGAAACTTTATTAATCAAAAAGCATGATTGAGCAATCAGAGTCATAAAAAAAACTTTATTTATTACAATAATATATATTTTTTTTTTCAGAAATTGTTGTATATTCAAATGAAGGCATTAAACGTTATTGATTGATTGAATCTTTTAATCAAATGAACATTTCTGTACAAATGTACTGTTATTAGAAATTTTTTTAGAACAAAGTTTAAATAATTATTTTATTATTAGTAGTAGTTAGACTGGTATTACATTTTACTGTACAATAGTAATATATTTCTGTCACAATTTCTTCAATGACAACTGAAATTTTGATAGGGCCTGCTAAATCATTCCCAGTTAGACCAACATGCATTATACATATCAATAGAGTCCTGATTTCATATGGTCTTTTTCTGCACTATTTCTCAGGTGTGATTCAGTCAGTTCACTAATCATATGATAATGAGATGCTAATCAAATGTAAATTTCCTCGATCACCTGGAATGGCATGATGATCCGGCGTTCATTAGGCCTGAAGCTGTGCTGTTTTTCATAGGAATAGAGATTTGTGTTTATTCCCATGATGCTCTGTGTGAATTATGTAACACACTGTAAACAATCAGCAAGTAGCGTGAGCTTCTAAACCATAACTATCCTGGAGTACTTTGCATTGATTGTAAAGCTGAGACAGTTATTTTTCCTCATACAAGTAATTAGTGAGTCTCAGTAGTTAAGACTCTGCTAGACAGTAAAAATATAGTGTAGATGAGTATAAATGTGTCTAATGCTTCATCTGCATTCCTCTCTAATTAACTGCTGCCGCCTGACTCCAATTAGTGTAATTACAGCAGCAAGGGCTTCTGGGTAACTGAGAGACTATTCTGAGACATTGAAAGATGTAGAGGTTTCTAAAGGTGCGGTTTACAGGAGAGTTTCTTCATGAGAAGAACACGGAGAGTTTAACAGAGAGAGTACTAGAGGAAATGAAACGAGGAGAGATGAGATTGAGCGTTTAAACTCACATTAGCCTCTGATTAGAGCAGATTTCAGTCACTGCTCTCATGCTCAGATTAATTATTACATTACATCATATTCAACAAGAGTGTTTGCGTTTGTTTACACAACAGGATGAAACACACACTCTCTCTCTCTCTCACACACACACACACAGGTTTGTTTTTGTGAAAAGTGGGGACTCTCCATAGGTGTAATGGTTCACACTGTCACGCACACTCACACACACACACACACACACACACACACACATACACTCTCACACGCACACACACACACTCTCTCTCACACACACATTCTCTCTCTCTCACACACACACGCGCGCACACTCTCTCTCTCTCTCTCTCACACACATTCTCTCTCTCTCTCACACACACACACACGTCCGCACACTCTCTCTCTCTCTCTCACACACACACATTCTCTCTCTCTCACACACGCACGCACGCGCACTCTCTCTCTCTCTCTCTCTCTCTCTCTCACACACACACAGAGTATGATTATTGCGTTTTTTATTGAGTTTTTGACTATTCCTCAACATCAGCTCTCACTATCTTTTCACAGGCAAGAGGTTACCTACAGCATTCATTGGATCTTGCTCTTTCAACTCATCCATGTGCGCATCCATGTGTCTTATAGTAATGAATGTGCTTGCAACGGGATCACGTAATTTATGTGGAAACAGCATTCTAATTTGGCATTCTAACATTTAACATTCTAATTCTGCTTCCAAGGAAATTATAAGAAGGTTGGCCTCTATGAAGATAAGTGTTTCAGATCATGTCAAGAATTTGGGTGTTATAATGGATTCAGCTTTAGTTTTAGATAAACAGGTTACTAGTGTTGTGAAGGCTGCGTTTTATCAACTCCTGGAGACTGTTATTCATGCTTTTGTATCTTCACACATCGATTACTGTAATTCTGTAAATAGGCATTTCACAGGGTCAATTATCCCATCTTCAATTAGTCTAAAATTTTGGAATTTACTGTTTAATGCAGAATGTCACAGAATTTGTCAAATTGAATTAATTAATCAAAAGTACTTCGTTACACTTAAATCAAATCATAATATGGATCAGTATCAGTAAATATTAAGCCGCAAAAATACCATTTAAATATGAATCCTCCATGTTTTACGTGTCTCTGTGTGAATGGCACAGACGCACGACTACTACTACTACTACTACTACTACTACTACTACTACTACTACTACTACTACTACTACTACTACTACTACTAGTACTAAAATGAAACTAACTTTATTTTTTAGAGATTAATCACACACCATTTCTTCCATGTTTTAATTTTAATAGTAAATCCCCTTTGTTTGCCAAAAATAGTTTGCTTAATTTTCAATAATTAAAAGATAAATAAAATTAATGTTTTATGCCTTCATTTGATAACCAAAAAAATGTAAATAGACAACACAGAATTTCTGAGGGGAAAAAAAAACATGTCATAAGGCTATTTTGAGAATAAATTTGAATAAATTAAGTTTTATGCATTCAAGTAATTAGACATGCTACAACACAGAATTTAATAACAATAAAAGATATGGAGAGGAAAAAAATAAAAGTTTCATAGAGCCCTAAGCATGCAATTTTTATAAAACCTTTAATAAATTGATGTGAAATTGTTAAGTTTCAAGATTTTCATTAATTAAACGTGCTTTTTGATTAATAAAATGTAATTTAACCATTCAAAAGGAGTCAAGAAAAATTAAAAGGGGGAAAAAAACAGAATCCAGAAAAATTAAAATGGAAAAAACGATATTTGGGGAAAAATAAAACTGATTTTATAGGGTCCTATTAATGATGCTGGAAAGCACTTCGGTCAGTTGTTTTAAATGTGCTATAAAAATAAAATTTGTATTGTATTGTATTAACTCTGTATAACCTGAGACAGCTATGACCTCGGCAGAGAACTTCCCTCCATATTCCTGGGCCTCGACCATTAAAGGCAGAGTAAGTGATTTCTGGTAGCCAATGTTGATATTTGAAATCACCAAAACAAACACGCCCCTACCCCAAAAGGGTCTTGCCCCTATTTTGATAGCTCCGCCCCACACATACGTACGCAACCCAGGCAATGATTAGTTCTGTGAAACAAAGCAAAACCAATGTTACACCGTGTCTACGGACGTGAGCGGCACGGCGCAACAAATCCCCGACAGAAAACTGCTGCCAGGTTCTATTTATGACGTGCTGACACACATTTCAAATGGTTTTTCAACGGTGGTTTGATCGCGTCCAGTGTAGGCAGACTTTAGCTGTTGTAGACACGGTGTTACTCAGCTATGGAGAAGAAACAAAGCAACCTCGGCGTCCGATCGCAGGTCTCCGCTCCTTGAGTTCTCTTCAGCGCTGGAAAGCTGATTCGATATTTACACAGGTCCTACTTGCCTTATCGTTCCGCAGATTTTTCCTCTTTTGTTTTTTTATCCGCCATCTCTATCTCTCTGTCGCTCGGCTCGGCTAATGTCCGTCCCGTGCACTGAACGCTCTCTCCTCCACATCACGAGTAGACACGCCCCTTATTGCTGATTGGCTACAAGTTTGTTTTGCGATTCGGCCCGAATCAGTTTTCTAAAGTGTTTTTGAAAAATCACTTACTCTGCCTTTAATTCAAGTATCAAGTATCCCTTACTTCTCAGTGTGAGAAATACAAGGTGTGGCGTGTGAACTGCTTGAAATGTGTGTCTCACGGTGAATGCGTGAGACTGGAGAGCCCTGTAGACTGAAGTGTGTAAGTAACCTGAAGGATCTGTGTGTGTGTGTGTGTGTGTGTGTGTGTGTGTGTTTGTCTGTAGCAGCAGGAGCAGGACCCCACTAACCTGTACCTGTCTAATCTGCCCGTCTCTGTGGAAGAACAGGAGCTGGAGGCGCTGCTCAAACCCTTCGGTCACGTGATCTCCACGCGGATCTTACGGGACGCCAGCGGCGCAAGCAGAGGTGTCGGCTTCGCCAGGTGTGTGTGTGTGTTCACATATCAAACCCTCATTACACTGAGTGTTTAACAGACTTCAGTGAAGTCAAGTGTGTGTGCTGATTTATTCTGTGCTAATGAGGGTCAACAACAGCCTCTTCATTTCAACAGCTGCAGCTTATGATTATTACGAACAATTAATATTCGAAGCCTCAGTACACAATGTTTTTGTGCAGACAGGGTCATTTTCTGGATTTTATAAAGACTGTATAATAAAACTCAGTGTGAATCTATAGTTATTAATATTAATGAGCATGTTGTAAAATCTAAAACATATGCAGATTTAAATAACAATTGTATGTATAAATTTATTTCTATATATTATATTATTCCTATAATACATTACATTACATTATATTATTATATTTTTTCCTAACAGTTACATCTCTGTGCTAATTTATCATTTGTATCATTTTTCTAATTGTATTATTATTTTACTATTTTTGTTATTTTATTATTATTATTTATTATTTTGTTTGTTTTTTAATTTGTATTTTTATATAATACCCAATGGGAATTTATTTATATTTGTGCTAAAAATCCACATTGTAAAGTCTAAAACATATACCAATTTGAATAATAATTTATTATTATTATTGTTGTTGTTATTGTAATTGTTGTTATTATTTTAAATAATAATTATTTATTTAGTTTTCTCAGTGTTATCACTGTACTAATAAACCTTCACATTTCAAGATCTAAAACAAACACAGATGCATTCATTTTATTTACTTTTTTTTTCTTTCATTTTTAATTTTAATTGTAAACACTGAAATTCATGTGCAAAATCTTGTTTAAAAAGTTTTTTTTTTTTAAATCACACAAGCCATCTAATAAAGTCAATGCTCTACTGTAAGTCTTTTAAAACCTTTGAAACGACTCAATGCTGTTTGCCTGCTGTGGGTTTTCTTGTGTTTGTGTGTGTTGTTCTTCAGGTTGGAGTCCACAGAGAAATGTGAAGTTGTCATACAGCATTTCAATGGGAAATATCTCAAGACTCCAGCAGGAACCCCAGGTAGAGCTGTGACCGCTCTCAGTTCACTACAGCTCAACAAACAGAAGCAGAAAGAGAAACGCTCAGCACCCTGTTTTGGTGATATTGGATATTGCTAAGGTCTTTCATAGCTCATGAAGTTCTTGGTTTCATAAAAGTGTCAGCTTTGTCTCAGGTTTCTCGCAAGCTTTGTTAGGAGAAATGAGACCCAAATGAGTCGCTAGCTGTCAATGAGTGAGAGTCTAGAGCTGTTAAGTCACTGTGGAGCAGCTCAGATGATCTGGTGAGAAACAGATGAGATCGTATTGAGATGCTTTGATTGCAGACGCGTGTTTCCTCTCTTCAGCGCTCTGTGTGATTGACTGGATTGAGACTAACAGCATTGTTTCTGACTGTGGTATCAATCAGAACTGAGCTCAGGCTGGACAGGAAGTGATGATCAGTGGTGGCTCGTGGGTTTTAAAATAGAGGAGGCACACTAATTGTATTGGTCTGTGATCCCTGACGATTATTATTATCATTACTATTATTATTATTATTTGCTTAATCACTTTAAAATGGCTTTTTGGTTGCCTTTAGTCAGAAAACGCAAAGAAAATGACAGCAAGATAATATAATTTCACTTACCTGGCCTATCACTTGAAGCAAACATCCATCCCTTCTTAAAAGTTTGTGTTAAAAGAGAGCTGCCTGTTGTGCCATTTAATTAAGCCGACTGCTGTAGTCTATATCCAGCTTAAGCTGTTTTCCCTAAATCTGTATATATACTGTTTGAATGACAGCTTGGTAAATATTCATGTGCAAAATCTTGTTTAAAAAGTTTTTTTTTTTTAAATCACACAAGCCATCTAATAAAGTCAATGCTCTACTGTAAGTCTTTTAAAACCTTTGAAACGACTCAATGCTGTTTGCCTGCTGTGGGTTTTCTTGTGTTTGTGTGTGTTGTTCTTCAGGTTGGAGTCCACAGAGAAATGTGAAGTTGTCATACAGCATTTCAATGGGAAATATCTCAAGACTCCAGCAGGAACCCCAGGTAGAGCTGTGACCGCTCTCAGTTCACTACAGCTCAACAAACAGAAGCAGAAAGAGAAACGCTCAGCACCCTGTTTTGGTGATATTGGATATTGCTAAGGTCTTTCATAGCTCATGAAGTTCTTGGTTTCATAAAAGTGTCAGCTTTGTCTCAGGTTTCTCGCAAGCTTTGTTAGGAGAAATGAGACCCAAATGAGTCGCTAGCTGTCAATGAGTGAGAGTCTAGAGCTGTTAAGTCACTGTGGAGCAGCTCAGATGATCTGGTGAGAAACAGATGAGATCGTATTGAGATGCTTTGATTGCAGACGCGTGTTTCCTCTCTTCAGCGCTCTGTGTGATTGACTGGATTGAGACTAACAGCATTGTTTCTGACTGTGGTATCAATCAGAACTGAGCTCAGGCTGGACAGGAAGTGATGATCAGTGGTGGCTCGTGGGTTTTAAAATAGAGGAGGCACACTAATTGTATTGGTCTGTGATCCCTGACGATTATTATTATCATTACTATTATTATTATTATTTGCTTAATCACTTTAAAATGGCTTTTTGGTTGCCTTTAGTCAGAAAACGCAAAGAAAATGACAGCAAGATAATATAATTTCACTTACCTGGCCTATCACTTGAAGCAAACATCCATCCCTTCTTAAAAGTTTGTGTTAAAAGAGAGCTGCCTGTTGTGCCATTTAATTAAGCCGACTGCTGTAGTCTATATCCAGCTTAAGCTGTTTTCCCTAAATCTGTATATATACTGTTTGAATGACAGCTTGGTAAATCTGTTGGCGATCAAATATTCAATATCGCTACTCATCATAAGTACTTGGTACATTATCAGCGCAGCAGGAGATGTTCAAACTAATATCACATAATTTACATCTCTATGATGATTGGTTGATATCAGAAGGAGGCTAGCCTCCCTTGCAAGGGTTCTTTTCTCAACACTCCTCAATGCTGAAAGTGAACACTCGATGCTGATTGGCTAATTTTTATTACCAACGGAAGCACGAGAGCTTAGCTCTCCCCCGGCCTCCCCCTACCCTTCTCTATCATCTAGTGGTTGTAATTACATCAGCAGATTCGGCACATTCACGATAGAAAAACGGTGCGTGAACTGTGAAATTACAAACAAAAAATAGGCTACACATTCTGAGACATGAACTGAACTGAACTGAATTGTGAATTTTATTAACATTAAATCGTCCTCCTCCCATTTTCACCTCAAAATTATGATCTATCTTTTTTATCAGATCTATCTATCTGTCTGTCTATCTATATAGCTATCGTTCTGTCGTTCTATATATCTATCTATCGTTCTATCTGTCTTTCGTTCTTTCTTTCTTATCTCTTTATCTCTGTCTGTCTATTCTGTTCTAGTTGTAGCAGTGAAATG